GAGAGAGAGAAAAGAGAGAGAGAGAGAGAGAGAGAAAGAGAGAAATTACACATCTTGCAGCTGTTGTATATGTCATTATTTGAACGTACGGCTAATATTTGCAGACACGAATTAATATGTAAAATGCGCTGATTCGACGATACAAACACAGTTTGTCCTTAACCGTTGCATTATTAAAGACGTCGAGACAATTATTATTACATTTAATTGAAAGGCGTGTAAAATATATCTCTTGCTTATTGGTAGCCCAGAGTCAACGATTCCCGCAAACTTAATTAATATAAAATTTGCATATAACATTGTTATTCGCGGTGCAAGTGTCGCGAGGCACCTCTCTTGGTATCGCGTAATCCTTACATGCGTAATAAAAATCATTCGACGACTGCTGGCATAATCAAAACATCTACACGCATCTGATACAGAAGCGATATGATACAAACGTAGATTATCCACATATGGAAAATGCATCCTAAGAAAATCCTTCCGAAGATATAAACTTTTAAAGTGCTATCTAAATACTATGTACAATTCGCATAGTCGATTCATTTGCAAAGTGATATGTGAGGCCGTTCTTGTCCACCACCCCTCCCCCTCCCCCTTCCCCGCCCCCGTCCCCTCCCCCGTCCCCCTATCCTCCTATCACCATCCCCCTCCCGACACCTTTTGAGAAATAATTTGAGAAATAAAAAGAGAAAAAAACAATAGCAAAAAACAATCATCGTGCGAGTCACATGGCAGTTCAGTAGTTCACGTATCATATAAAATTAAGTGTTAATGTGGGTGAATCAAAAACACGTTCGACATAATACGTACGATTGACGAAATTAACGAAATTGACATTATGCACATGTAAAGTAACGTGTTGCGCGAGACATTTTCACTTCAACTTCATCTTCATCTTCATCTTCATCTTAATCTTCTTTTTTTCTTTATCTTTTTTTGCTTGTTTGTTCCTTTATCCATTTTTCTTTTACCCCCCTTTTGTAAACAATAAAGTCCGACGGACTTAAATCTCATCGTGATTGTGACCTTCAACCGAGCCGATTCCCCATTAAAACTCGAACGAAGTAACTGCCGTCCGACATTTGTCGAGCATATCGTCATGCTTCACTGTCACGAAGACTGTAATTCGTCACCGGGTCGAAGTATCTCTGGTGCGTCTCGTTTAGCGCGAAAACGTAACCCCAGAGCTTCATGGCCAAATTGCACTCTTGCTGGATCTCCTCGACCTCCTCGAAGTCCAAATCGTTGCGCCAGTGGAACGGAGCGGCCTTGGAATTGCGAAAGGTGCTCGATAGGCCGCCGATGTCAGTCTTTGTGTGAGTATCCAAGAAGCGCTGCACGTTCTCGTGAAAGTGAAGACCGTAGAACTCGAAGAGTTTCTCCGTGTGACTGTAGGGATCCACCGACAGGTCTTCGTAGCGAATAACTCTGAAATTGTGACATTAAAATTTTTAATTACGATCGTGTTTAATGTACGACGTAAGCCAATAATTCGCATCGAAATATAATACTCCGTATCCCAGATTTTGGGCAGACGATAAAGAATGGACGAACGTTAGGTATAAGATCATTATAATAATCGTTCGATAATATTACAATAATAATTAACAATAGCAATTGACTTTCTTTGTTTTTGTTTTTTTTTTTTTTTTTTTTTTTTTTTTTTTTTTTTTTTTTGGCTTTAAGCATACCTAAATGTGTTGGGATATAATTTTGAGAATCTAGCTGCGGTATTATAATCTGAAACCATGTCGGAGCACAATGCCGTTGGATCAAAGCAGTCTGGCTCGCTAGGACACCAATCGCGGTGCTTTCGAGATTGCAAAACTCCTCGTGGATCCCTGATCAATAATACAATCTTAACACCTAGCCTTGAAAGGAAAATGAAAAACTTTTAGACGACTGTTGTTTACTGTTGTTGTTGTTGTTGTTGTTGTTGTTGTTGTTGTTATTATGCATATATAATTAATAGTGGCTTCGGTAGCTTAATTTGATATTCAAATTCAGAGAAACTCGCGATGACGATTAAGACGAATGTTCGAGAAGCGATCAAAGTTGAAATAATAACGTCAATTTTACGTACTCATTTTGTTCCAAAAACTTTTCCATAGGTTGCAATCTCAATCGTACAATCTTCATTGACTGGAATGGAAATAATTTACAAAACTTTGTAACAAATCGATTATCCCAGCATATTCTCTTATGTAGTTGACACTGCTTCCATAGATATGTGTTGTGATTAAATACCCAAGGATGGGAGTTTCTTCCAAAACTCAGATATCGTTCTAAAACAAAGTGGACGTTAGTGCATCGATTAGACGAATGTCAATGAGACGGCATATCGTAATAAATACATTTTATGTTTTTGCTTTGTAATTATAGTAGCAATACCTTAAGAACGAATAGTTTTTCTATAAATAACAATATTACAGTGCATTCATATTTTTCGGCATTTTTATTATTTTTCTTTTTAAGCTTCGCGCAACTCTATCTCTCGCAAAGTTTTATATTTCATTGTTTTTTCCAAATATTTCCGACTGGATTCCAATGACGACTATTCGCGATTAAAATTTTTATTACTTTCCACTTTATTCCCACTGCCCTCAACACTCAACATTAGATGATTTAATATGATAAATGCATGCCATAAATATCGTATACAATACCTAAGCTCGAGTAGTCACATTTAAACATTGAATCCAAATTTTCTAAGGCTTCGTCGGATAGCGGCGGATCCCTTATTTGAATTATTCCAAAATGTAAAAGTGGCTCGTAGTGATAAAAATTAGCTGGATGAGAATTCAATATGTCACCGAGAAATGTACTACCGCTACGCCAAGTAGTCAATATTACGCTTCGTAATGGATTTCCTTGTTTTTCTATCACCAAATCGTCCAGTTTACTATACAGAGAAATGTGCGCTATTGTTAATATGATTTTTCAGGACAATCTCAAAATCAAAGGATTTAGCATGTTTTGGAAAATTATTTTTGAAGACTTTAGAAGAAAAACCTACGCTAACCACATTTATTTCCGACATTTCTCGATCGACTCTCATTTATCCACGTTTCATTATTCATTTACAATTATAATATGCGCAGAAAATGTTTTATCGTATTATAAAATATTTCAATACCATATTTTGCTTTTAATCGTACACAATGTACTTGTACGTCGGCTGATTCTCATAAAACGCGAATACCATCAACATTTGCTCTCGAGCTTTATTTCTCTGAAAAATGATAATTCACCCACGTTATACTAAATTATTTTCATTACGCTAAATAAGAGAATTATATCACATTTATAAATACGAATGCTTATTAATTGGACATTTTCATGAAAATTGAACGTTTTCACGTACCGACACAGTATTAAAAACAAAAGAAAAAAACGATTCCACGCGTAATCAACAATTTGTTACAATCACCAATTCATCGATCGAAAGCCACTCTACAACGTCACTATTTTTTTTTTTTTTTTTTTTTTTTTTTTTTTTTTTTAATTCCAAACTGATATTGGCGAACACTCGTGTATCTCTAATCAACAATAATTGAACGTCGATGTATAAGTAATACATTGTAGCTGCATATCATTTAAAAATTATAATTTTGCAACATAAAATTCCCTAAGCGTATTATAAAGATAATTGATAGGAATTTAGAGTTTTTTAGCACTTTAAAGTATTTCAAAAACCAAAGTATGTTTAAAACTTGAAAGTTTCATTAGCATTTAACAATGATATATATATATATATATATATATGTTACAATTGTTTACCGTTAACAATCATAAAGCATTCGTCTATACGAGTATTTTGTATTTAACATAAAATTTTTATATGTAACGATCCAACCGATTTTAATGAACAGTCGAGTTAATGAGTAATTTTTCACAATAAACTTACAATTTCATTCGATTGCATTAGAGAGCTCTTAGTAAAATAATATCTTTATCTTATTTCACATTAATAACGCATAGTCGCTAACGGGGAAACGCTATGTTATTATTATTTATTATAATAATTTCAATAGTCGTCCTTTAACTGCGCCTTCTCATTAGCCGCGTCCCTGAGCATTTTTCATCGTTTTTATGAATACTTGGCGCGAAACGACATCGTCTATAGCAGGAAAATAGTCACATTACAACGATTAGCCATTCTTCCAAATAATAGTGTCGTATTGGATACAAAGGGAATGCAGTTGTCGTGTATCAAAGGATCGCTAAAATTACGAAAGTTGCCCAATTTTAACTTCCCTGCTTTTAGCATCCCTGTCATTAAAAGTCTAATTGCTCGTGAATGTGCGGGAGCACGTGCGCTCAGCCAAATATCCTAAGCTTAAACATCGGAGGATGATGGGTAAGAAATTTGACGCTTTAAAGTACTCGGTGGGCAGAAAAAAAAAGACAAAGAAAGAAAGTTATGACTGTAGCTCACTTAGCATAAACATCGTACTTTCCATTGGGATACACGTAGTCCTCCATTTCCTTTTGGATGATGCGCCTCTGTTGCTCGACAACGTCCGCGATCTCCACAAGCGCGACGCTCTCCATGGCGTAAGTGCCCCTGATGTAACTCTACAAAAGGCATCGTTATGTGTGGAGGCGAGGATCGATAAAGTTTGCACATACGCCTCGAATGTAAAGTCACACTTTTTCTCTCTCTCTCTCTCTCTCTCTCTCTCTCTCTCAATCTTATACACACACAAACACAAACACAGATATTCAGCCATTTATGCGTTAAGAGAATGGCAGTGATTTATTTGGCTGGAAGATCGGAATATTCTACATGGACATGCGAATGAAAGAGACCAAAGGAGAAACAAACGAGAAACGTGATATACTTGGAATTTGGGGGGGGGGGGGGAACGTCGTACGTTAATCATCAATGCAAGTTGTTTCTGACCCTCTTGTTCGCTGTTTTAATTCTCAGCGATTCCCATTTTAATTTTTTACAAGTCAATTAGGGTTGAATTGTTGTGCGCGAAATGTTGTCCATTTTATCGAAATATAAACTATCGATACTCATGAAATAATTTTATGACATTTTTTAATTACTATTTAAGAAAAATCCAAGATTCTACCTTCTTTTATTTTTTATTTTTTTTTTTAAATATCTTCTTATGCGTTGCAATTATTGCATAATTAATTAAAAAATATTTTCTCGGATAAATTAATATTGACAGTACAACTTTCAAAATTGAATAATAAATGACGACAATTGACACGCGTATTAGCTTTCTTAGAAATAATTCATAAATCTTAGCTATCGAGAATAGAAAGGATCGTAAATTATTTATTATTCACGCTTACACTAGTAAATGTCTAGTATTATTTAATTTAAACTTTAATATTAATCATTGTTATTAAAATACAAATTGTTGAAAGCAACGCTTTTCTTTTTATTACTAATATGTCAAGCTATAATTTTCTATATGAATTATTAGTATATTATAAAAAGGCAAAAACTCAATAAAGCAAATTGCAATTTTCATCGCGAATAAATGTATTATAGTTTACTTTATCGGACGAAAAGAAAGTCGTATTTACTATCTTTGTCCACTTGTATCATTCAAATGAGTAATTGTATTACTTAAAAAGGTTAATCCTGACATTTACATTGAATTATTTCACTACAATGAGTAGTTATTTTGTTCGATAGAAATTATTCTTATATAAAAACAGCATATTCCACTTTAATCAGATTTCAGATCTCGCAGAAATAATAATAAAAAAGGTTATTTCGTAAATTCATTTATGTGAAAATAAATAAAATCTATAAATTTACTATAAATAAGTTATATTTCAAAAAAAAAAAAAAAGAAAAAAAATTCTTTCCTTCAAAACAATAAAGCAAGAAAGAATTTTCCTGCAAAAGTATATAAAATTCTTTTAGATAAGTTATTACTAACATTAATTTACTTCAAATATTCCATTTAAAGCTAATGGATTGTTCTTTGAGTTGAAGTTAATTTATACTTCATTTAAAAGAGATTTCAACTTTAGGTTTTATAAATTTACATTAATCAACAGTGAAACTGTGTAAGTAAATTGTAAGCTCTGTAACGACAAATTCAATTTATCTACCGACAAATTCAATCTATCTATAAAGTTTCAATGGTCGAACTTTAAATCGTTTAATTATACTACGAGTTGATATATTTTCTAAATTTGTATCGTGTATTCTTCACACAAACTTTTATAATTACATTTAAAATAAATTCAACAAATTAACATAACAAAGATAAGATACGCAACACTGTCTAAGAATAATAAAAATTATTATATAATAAAAATTCTGAAGATTTGATGCCAGTACTAGCGAGTTATAAATCTTGATTTTCACGTTAACTTAAATTCATCCTTTTACTAAGCTCAACACAAAGCTTTTGTAGCAAAATTTAAAAAATTATCTTCATTTTATACATTTCAATATTAAAATATTCTTAATACTCGTTTACAAAATACAATATGTATTTTAAAAAAGAATAAATTTTCTTTTTAACTTGGCAATTTTATTAAAATATTGACAATGCACTTAAAATTTTCGATTGTTGACATGAATCAAGGTATACTGTATACATAGAAATAACGAAATTCACGTAATATAACCGCGAAAAAGTTGTCATTTAAAAATATTCAAAAAAAGCTAACCTTTTACACACATATTTTTATAACTGCTGTTCATACATGCACGAGAATAATAATAATTTGTCATTTTGAAAATCTGACATCATGCATTAAATAGAATTGAATACGTTTTGTTTAAAGTAAATTTAATTATCAATTTATATTCAACAATTTTTTAAGTAAATCAATAGATTTACCTTTGCCTTACGTTTTGTTTTGTTAAAACTTTGTTTTAAAATGAAAATTTATCCAACAAAAGTCACTAATTAAATTTTTGTTGAAAGATACAAATCTTTACCTTTCATGATTATCGAATAGAAGTTAATTTTTTTTTTTTTTTTCATATTATAATTATTATTCAAAAAAATTTTGTAGTGTTAAAAACTATAAGTCAAATACATTGATATTAAACTTAATAAATTTTATTAAATGATACATATTCATTCTTAAATACGTCTTCTCTGTATGATACATGAATATTATTTTGTAAAATTTTGTTTTATGTTTAAGTTTTTCATAAATGAGTTATAAATTTGACGCAACGCTTAATTGGAAATCGGAAAATTTAAACAAAGAAAAAATAATATTACAATATAATTTGTAGTAGAACAAACCTTTCATCTCTTATATACATTTTCTTCTACAAATGCATGAAAATTAGTGCACAACAATAATCTTCGATATTATCTATTTAATTTATAGAGTCATATTATTCAATGAAATTTGTTATTACCAAAAGATTAATAAGCGTGTCATGCTGTTACGCATTTTACCAATTAAAAATACCTTACATCCTCCACCAGTTATATATTAAAAACTCCGACATCATGCTTCCTTATTGTAATTGAAGGATATCCTGATATTTTAGAAGTATGTAAATTAATGATAAACTCGTTAGAAGAGAATACTTAACAAAATTTTCTTCTCTTTTTTTTTTTTTTTTTTTTTTTTTTTTTTTTTTTTTTTTTAAATAAATTTCAAAGCAAAAGTATTCTCTTAAACAAAATGTCTTAAACAATCAATTTCTTGTGCCAATTGGGAACTATAAAATCACCGATTGATGTATGCCAAATAATAAAAAATATACGACAGTTAGATTAGTTTGATATTGAGAAAAAATTGAATAATTAATTTTATATCTCACAATGATAATTTTTTTCTTTGAATTACTCATTTATTTTCAGCAAGGATTGTTGATTAATTTTATCTTTAATGTATCGGAATAAAAAATATTATGTTCTATACAATGTAATAAAAAAATGTTTAACGTAATAATAAACTTCTAATTAAAAAGCACACTTTAATATAAAACTACTCTAATGTATGTAAAAAATATACGTACATATTTTTGAATAAAAAGTCATATATATTTTTACGTAACTCTTGAAATGAAATATTTATCGACAATACTATTTACTATCAGTGGTACTTTCACGAGATTGTAATATCTACAAGATTTATATTTGTGGCGTTAAACAGTTTGTATTGGTTATATAATTGCAGCTTTCTTTCTTTCTTAAAAAAAAAAAAAAAAAATTATTAAAACGATATTTAAATAATTATTTAATGAATTATTAAAGTACCAATGATAATAATAAAAGTTATAATAATAGCTAGTTATTTCGTTATGTATTAAGTAAAATTTTGTTCAAATTAATATACGCAATCCAAAAATATTGTAATATATCGTAGCAAGCAATTTTTAATGTATAACGAAGCAAATAACAAAAAAAAAAAAAAAAAAAAAACCCTTAATCCTAACGTTCAAACCACACAAGCAAGTACTTTTAAGATAATACTGATATTTGGAATTATACTGTAAACCCATAATATTGCAATCGTCAAACGTTCTCATTTAAAACTTTTATTTTCATTTTCAAACTCATGCAATATTACCAATATATATATATAGTTATCAATTATTTTTCTAGCGATTATAAATTTTTAATTAAATCGCATACAATTTCATTAAAGCATACTACTACAAGATAATTTTATGCAAACCGTAACTTCACACTGCATGCTCATGACTTACCCAAAAAGGATCGTCATATTTTGTTGTTGGTACTGTAAACAACTCTTGATATTTCATTCGTGACCTTAATTCCGCATCCTAGTTGAATAACAAATAAAAAAAAACTCTTGTTGATTAAAAGAACGCATCTTTTTATCTATTAAATATACTTCATCTAGGATGATTTACTGTTTTATATTCAATAATACAAATATTAAAGATATAAATCATCTCGAGCTTATGATAGCTAAATGACTATATGCGATTAGCAAGAATAAGACTAAAATATATCTTATTTCTCATCAATTATAAAGCAAATATAAAATTGTATATTTAATATTATAGGTTAAGAATTTAAGTATTCGCTAGCTATCCGACGTATGTTATTCATTTACAAAAAATGGTAAGATTTTATTAATTACAGTAACTAGAAAACTATTTTTCCTAAAAATGATATAATCGAACGTTATTAAAGTATTACAAACTTCATGGTATCCTGAAAAATAAATAAAATATAAAAAAAAAAAAAATGATTTTTATAATTATACTGCATATCTTCCAATATTTCTAATATTTCAAAAAACTCAATATATGGATTCTTATTCATATATAATATGTATGAATATATGCACATTACAGATATGCTGCCATCAGCTTATTACTGTTCCAATACTTTAAAAATATTATTAAAACATGTAATGTTTATATTATACATTCAGTTAAAAAAAGAAACGAAAGATTTTAACATTAATAGGTTGTAAGAAAAGAATCCTACGGCACAATTATGAATGTCAACAAAATCAGGTTAATGCTAATAACGATACTTCAAAATTACGAAAAATACATAAAAACTAAGAATCATACTTAAAAATTAACGATAATACTTTCAAAAATAAGACAATTTTATCACAAAGGTGAAAAGTTCTTATCGCAGTAATCATATATAAATTAAAGGCAATAAAATAGTTGATTATGTAAATGAGAGTACTCTGAAGAAGTACAATATGGTTAGAACGAAAAATAATAATTTTAGATAATTTATTCAAAATGAGTATCAATATTAAGAAATCATTGAAATTTAACTTTGCTGAAATACTGAAATTTACATAGTCGACTGCACAAAACATATCAACAAATAAATAAATAAAAAAATACTGCAGCAATCAATGATTGAAAAAATTGGAAAATTGAACGATCCTTTCATTTTTATAATCTGAAAAAGAACCAATTGAAAAAAAAAAAACATTCATTTTCAATTTCAATACTCAATTTTTTCTTGCAAATTATATGTATCAACGTAAAAGTTAAATATTTAAAATTATATAAATCCCAGCAAGTGTTATATTAAGCGCAATTGCAAATAATTATTAATGTTATATATATAAATATAATTATATATATTATATATAATTTAATATATTAATGTTATTATATAAAATTATATAATATATAATAAATATAAAAAATACTATTAAACGAAAAATAATACTTAAAAAATAAGAAAATTTTATTAGAACACACTAGACGTTGATAATGAAATTTTAAAATCGTAATGCAAAATTAATGGTAGAAATGTAATCAATGATATGTCAAAATGGGTATTTATGAATGCTCTCGATATTTCATGAGAATGAATATGGATAGTGTATTAAAAAAAAAAATGAAGTCCCTAATAATATAAGAATAAATTTCAAAATATGTATCAAAAGTCGAAATAAATTCTCAAATCCCACATAAAGGAAAATAATTCTTACCTCATTCAAACAACATTAGAATTAGGCGCAAAGATAAAATTTGTATATAGAAAGTGTGGCGGCAACCTTATTGTTTACCCATAATGTAATACGACATGGCAAAAATGTAATGAGAAAGAAAATGCAAACGCCATATTGAAAAAGTATGTAATATCAAATGTGTAATGTGAATTAATACGTGAAAAGTGATAGTAATTAGAATATACATGAAATTATGAATATTATTCATAAATTGTATTCATTACTTGCACGATACACTGAGCTCATATTAATAATAAAATTCAATCGAATTGCATAAATAAAAAGATATTTTCGCGTCAGAAATATTATATAGAATTTATTACATTAAAGTTTTAATGAATATAAAGTACGAATCAATAATAAATACCATATTTATAATAGACTTTTCAAATCGTTTGAATATATAGAATATCCATTTAAATTTACACCTCCAACATGATTGAAAGAAACGTTTGTTAAATTTATATAACTTAAAACGGAGAAATATTGATATATATATATATATATATATATATGTATATACTAACGATTTCTATGATTGTTATGATAATTCTTGAATATCAAATAAATATACAAAGCAAGTTCAGAAAAACACAATAGATCGGAAGTTGCAAACAATAGCTGCAGTTTTTGTCTACGGATATCAAACATTTAAATTATTCGTTCTCGTTCGAGAGGAAATATGAAATCAAATTTGACTTGTTAAAACGAATTATTATTGATAAAATACAAACAATTGATTATAATGAATTTTTTCTTTTAATTTATTCTGAACTCTTGTTACATTTAAAGCTTTGTATATTATATTATACAAGATAATTGTTTGAACTTACCGGAATAAAGATATTAGATACTCGAAAACTACGATCGATTATATGATCTGATAAAAAAAAAAAAAAAAAAAAAAAAAAAAAAAAAACAATAATAACAACAACAACAACAACAAAGTTAAATAGATCAAGGTGCTATTGTAATAAAACAATAAATGAACGTACGATCATTTTTTTTTCAATCAAATTATTAAAAATAATAACATTTATTAAGAAAGTTTTGTAAAAATTAATGTAAAAATTCCAACGGTCCTTATTTTTAAAAAAATACCACATCTGAAATTAATCTAGTATGAAATTAAAATCCATTAGATTCATTTCTAAATTGATAAATTGTTTACGTTTTAATGTATCGTATAACGTGTAAAAATAAAAATTGTATTAAATTACAGAAAGGTGCAAGCTAAGAAATTTGACTATTTTATGAAAGCGTTGATAAATAAGTTACTTATTTGTGATTTGATCAAGAAATAATATTTTCGAAGCAATCATGAATAGGATATAAATAGGCGTAGGATTGATAAAAATGCGTCGACGTAGGTACCCAGCACGGTTTAGCCAAATTGTTAGGATTGACCGAGTTGTGTGTCATATTAGGTTGGGAATGTAGAGAGGCGATAGCAATGGACCATTTAATTGGGAATTGCATCAAAGCATGAAGTCGTTTGGCAGAAGCTGCGGATCGTTAAAGATTGTCGTGAATTTTCAGATAAATACAGAGGCGCACATGAAATTTAACATAGTGAATTATTAAAATTGTTAATTATGCTATGCGATCCATTACACTGGTCGGTAATTTCTTGCAAATATAATACTGAATTAAATTACTCGGTAATGCTAATAAAATTATAAATCTAATTAAATTTTACTTGCTTAAATATGTCTTTATAAAATGACTGATGTAAATAAGGGATATTGAGATTTCTTTCACATACACACCTTTTAGTAAAATAGATAACACACGACTTTTTATACGTTTATTGTCAAAGTCACGTAATTAAGAGATATTTTTTATTTATGTTTGTTATCGCAAAACAAGTTAAATACTCAAGCGTGATTATTAAAAATGCTAATTGATTTATTGAGTAATAAATTTGAATTTTTGATAATAGCGTAAATATTAATTTTTTCAAATTAAAAATTTCTTTGAACAGAAGTTAAATTACTTCTATTTACGAGTTGCTCTCAATTTTAGAATTTACATTTCAATCGATCGATTAAGATTTATTTATTGAATTTATTCCGTGCTAAGATCAATATTGTTCAGTTATTATAAATTATGAAAAGTATAAGTTAGTAAGCTATTAAAAAAAAAAAAAAAAAAAAAAAAAAAAAAAAAAAATCCAATTTAATTTCATAAAAAAGATAAAATGCTACGGAGATTAAACTGATATGTAAAGATAAATTGTGTATATAGAAATTGTACTTGAATATCTATTTATGTTCTTATTTTAGATAAATTTCATACGAGTTCTTCCATAAAATTAAGGATCATAATATATAAACTATAATAATTATAATAATTAGTAGTACGATTTTAAACTCGTTTAAATTAAGTATGCGTACGTGGTGAATTTTAGTAATTATTGTTTTACATACGGTTCTTCTTTTTTTTTTTTTAAACAAAAATATTTTATTCTTACGTTTCGTAACTCATACCGTCGATGTATTTTTAAATATTTTTAACTACATTCTTTTTTACTTTTCAATTAATTACATATCAACAAAAAGTACCGATTCAACTGAATTTTTTAATAAAGATAATATCTAAAACAATATGTCCACAATCTTTATCATCTCAATTGTAACTCAGTTATCATTTATTGCATATATTAACGAATAAAATTTATAGCTATAAATTTATAATGTAAATTTTTTCGATTGTATATTTATAAATCTTGCAATCAAAATGTTAAATATAAAAAGTTTCATATTGATTAGTAATATTATTAAATATCAACAACAACAAAAAAATGTTTTTCTGAAAAAGGAATTATTAAAATATTATCTTTTACCAAAAAATACAATATATTAAGATTAGCATGGAAAGATAAGTTGCGTTTCTATTAATAAATATCATAGTTTTGTGTGCGTGTATTTATTTATTTATTTATTTATTCGTAATACCGTTTTATTATGAAACGTTACGATTGATATACGTTATCTCTACGATAAAATGAAAATTACATTTAGAATAATAATTATAATGTCTGTTATCGTAAAAATTTTACAAATTTTTGCCATTTAAGTCTGCCTATAATAAATACGTATATCCATGCAAATACTGAAACAGGATCAGCGACGAATAGCGAAATTTTAATTGGCATTATTAACTCGACGAAAAGACAAAAGCTTGTTTATAAAAGGAAGAAAAGGAAAAATTGTTTATAAAAGGATCGTGGTTAGGTGTAATTTTATTTGCGAGTCGTGAGCCTTTAATACGCAATTAATCGTTAAAAGTGACAGTATGTGTTATGTGATGTCTTTTAGGGAGGAATCTAATCGCGACTAGCGCAATTCGTTCCCCGTGCAACGAACACTGGGGAAGAGCAATTTTTCACTTCTGGTAAGCCAGGCGTGTGTGCTTACAGTATACTGACCGAAAGAATTGGCTGAAGACGATGCTCTAGGTAATTGCTGTAACGCTGATTCAGCGCCAAAAAGAATATGCAGATAGTGGCCAGGAAGATGAGAAAGTAGAAACTTAGTTTCCTTGACATTTTTGAACCTGAAGAAGGAACATTTTCTTTTCATTTACATTATCGGAAATTTGCATTGTTTTCTTATATGCAAATACCATGGAAATTAAGTAATGAAATTAATGCAATAAAATGACGACTCAATTATTTTTATTCATATATCAGGGAAAATATTGGATTTCATATAAATTCAAAATTTATATTGTTTATATTATTCTAATGAATAAGGTTATTTCAATAGTGCTCGATACATATATTTTATACATAATTACTAAAATAACAACATAGATATAAATTATTATTTACATTATCCTCTACTTAAGTAATGAGCTATTAATAATATTATTACTCAATGAAATTGATAAAGTTTTTAACTGAATAGATGAATATGCTGTTGGGCTAAATTACATATAAATAGATATAAATAGTTAATAAAATTAAAGGAAATTTAAATTAGTAATAAGAACATTTTTTTTTTTTTTTATAACGTAAAGTTATATTTTAATTTAATATATGAAAATTAAGGGTACTTACAGTCCAGTCAAATTAAGAAATTCACATTTACTGGATGAGGTAATGAATTAATCATCTACATTCATAAAATTTAAAACGTTAATTCAAAATAATTAACTAAAGCATGGTAATTAGTTAAAACTGTATACGTAAGTTTTTCTTACTTTATATATTTTTGTATGCACTACGAGTACTCATTTATATATTCTTTGCGTTCAATTTTCACTTGGAATACTAATACTTCACAGCCACAATTCAAAATATTAGCTTATAAATCATTTAAAAATTAAGGTCCTCTTGACAATTCTATAATCTCAAAGCTCTCATACAAATGTTCTTGTTTAGGTCCACTCGATTGAAATTAATTATGCAATGGCCTACTATAATGTATGCATCAATATATATATTTGGAGTTCTTTTCTCTAATCATTGTTATTTCTTACATCACTGTTTATAAAACAGTTCTTTTCAAACAATAAGATTTACTACTGGAGTGTGCAACGTACATTTTTTATTATATTCTACAACATAAAAAAAGGAGATAGGCACTCAATGAAGGTATAAATATGATTGAGGTTTAAAAATTTTAATTAAATTTATCATAACCTGTTAATTGCATAGGATACAAGGTAAATAGTCAACTACGAGTAGCATTAATATTTTTATTTATTAGCTATATGTGACATTGTACAATTTATTAAATAAATTATGGCATTAAACGAACGGAAGTCAAATATAAATCATACGTCTAACGATGCTTTAGATAAAAATATACTTAAAATTATAGATAACATATAAATTTATTAGCTGTAAAATTGATGAAGCTAAAGTTAATGAGAATTTAATGCACCGGTTGACTTTAAGTAACACGAAACAACGAACATCAGGACAACGTTATTAATATAAGCCTCAATAAAATTAGAAACGAATAAAAAGCCAAATAAATAGTTTTTTAATGGATAGAATATGACTAGAAAATTGAGGAGGACAGATAAGAACAACTTGATAAGGAGAACATATTAAATAATAAAATCTTCTTATATAAAATAGGCGAGTGGCATAGAAATTAATATTCTAGAAATTGTATTTTATACACTAAATTGTCCCTAATTAGTTAATAACACAGGCCATTACGATATCACTAATGAAGAAAGTGCATGGCACTAACAATAATGCAAGCATACAGTTTCAAGCATAAAACTTTAAATACAATAATAAAAGAAAAGGATAAAATGACGTATGAGATAATCGAGTGACAAGCTGTTTAAAGATTAAGCACTATCTTCACGTAAAATTGCGTACTCGTCGTGATATCAGTAATCCGACGATTCCAAAATAAGGAGACACAACAATCAACAAGGCGAGAGCCGCCGATTGTACGTGGTCAGTGTGGGATAAGACGGGAGAAGAATGTGCATTAGTCGCGTGCGACGAGCGATAATTGCGTAAAACTTTAAAGGCACGATGTACAGTACGACGAGGCGACGAGACGCAAACAAACAAAAGTAACGCTGCGTAAGGTATAACACATAAAAGAGCGCACGAACCTTACAAGTTTGAGGTTAAGCCTGAGCGACCGCAGATGGCAAACGGTAGCAGAAGCAGAAGCAGCGGCAGCGGCGACGACGGCACATGTATCCATTATCGCTGGGAGTCCGCATAGCTTTGTGAGCTCACGCGTGCGAATGTTTCTCGTGGCCGCAGTCACGCTTCGTTCGCTCCTTCCTTACTTCTCTCTCTCTCTCTCTCTCTCTCTCTCTCTCT